GGTAGTTCTTGGTTCTTTCACACCTGAGCAAGCCAAGGAATTTTTCAAACTCTGTGACCTTTGGTAACTTGCATGGACTTCTAAAAAGTAGCACATAGAAGAGTTTTCCAGTGCAGAACTGGCCTTTCATCACCATTCATAATTCTGGAAAGCTATAAAGCCATTCCTGGAAGTAATGATCCTGTAGGCCACCTAAGAATGATATATCAACATATCAACATATCTTTCTCTGGAAGCCCTGATGCTACTCTCAGAACCAGTGAGTAGACAATGAAGACTTGCCATATAAATGATCCATTTCACTTCCTGGTAACAGCCTTTGCCATTGTTACAAAGCATGCCATAGAAAGACCAGAAGAGATGCTCTAGAAATAAATCTACACTTCTGGTGAAAACCAACAGAAATCAACATGTAAGACATTCAATGTCAGGACCCAGTTCAAATAATTCTTGCTGTAACAATGTCGAGAGCATCACTGATATCCTTTGACTGTGGAAGAAGTGGTCTTACTAAGGTGTCCATTAGCTAAAACACACGCAAACACAGGGAAGAATTAGTGATGGAGACCATTACTGCTGAAGAGAGAAAGCACAACAAAAGGCATAAGGATGAGGCATTTAAATATCTGTTGCTCCCTTCCACACATGCACTGCCAACTTTCTATTGCTTTTATTGGGGTTTGTCTTGTTCAAATTTTATTATGCTCTAGATTGAGAAAATAGATGCAGTACATCCTTTATGACTTTGTTGTATGTCCAGTGTGAATTAGCAACTCCTCTGATAATTGTTGAAATCTACATTCTGATTGATTAGATGAATGACCTATAGCGTGGTATATTCAGGATGGAGAGGAATACAGAACACATTTTTGGACACAGGCAAATATGTGAGTAGCTGAATGGGTCACTACAAGAAAGCAATTTTATTTTTGAAAGGATGAGAGAAGTGGTTTTTTAATGCCGAAATAGAAAACCAGCTCAGCCATATTACTGATGAAGAAGTTAAGGGCAAAGCATTAGTCAACTATCTAATTATTATCCTGCTGATCAGAGACAAAGTCTACAATAGACTGACTTCTTTCAGCTCATTGTTTTCCCTACTAGTTTATGATGCTTTCCTGTATACAAAGAGCTATTCACATAATGCTATCCATGAGAATGCACAGGAAGGTAGTGCTCTATATTAATTCATATTTGAAGGAAGAGGTCTCTACACCACTTGAATCATTTAGCTCTGTGATCTGATTTCTTCAAGAAAGTCGAAAATTAAATGGGTGTGGGGGCAAAGATATTAAGTTACAATTTAATTATAAGTGGAATATAATGCCATGTGTACTATGTATTGGTTCTGTGCCTTAGAAACTTATATGGGTACATAAAACTTTAACTTTGGATAAACTTTTAACAATCCTATTTTAAGAAACTTTGTTGTCTTTCAGTTTTTTGTTTTATGATTTCCTCTCTTTTAATTTCCAAATGAGCGTGAATGGTCTCTTGGTTAAATAGTTCTTTGGCAGCAAAATATGTAGCACGTTTCAAGAAACCAAATTAGATCTCTGATGATAATGGCAGTGAATTATCACAGTGGATGAAGGGAGGCCTAATGGTACCTAAAGACTGCAGTCTTTACAGATGAGGCAGTGATGCCAAAAGCCAACCATGTTTGCTCACATGAATAGAACCCTTCAAAGATTAAGACCGGTGACAGGAACAATTTGTTATGTGTAATCACCTGTTTTCTCAAAAGAGAAATACAGTACCTCCCCAACGACTGTTTCCCATTTGTCTGGATGATCTGGATGAGGTGTGGCAATGCTTTGTCCAGAGGCATTTGGTTCTTGCAATGCATTTATATCTGTTTCAAATGAAATCGGAGATGCTTCCTCTATCACTTCCTCGCCACGGGTGTGATGCATGGGAAGGGATATATAACCATAAAGTCAGACCACTCCTGGGGATTTTCAGAGCACCAATGCTGACCAATCTGAATTATTGATCTTTATTCATGAAAAAGGTTCCCTACGGGAAAGGATATAGCTTTATAGCAGTCTGAACTGTAATAGATGTTGATCTGGTGTTGATAAATATGTGGAGTGGGGGGAAACAATTCACAGAAAATCCACTGTAAGTTCTATAGTTAGGCTTCATCCTTTATTAGGTAGTGAGTAAAAGACAACTGATGATTACAACTCCAATTTAAGAGACCATTTAAACAAAAATGGTTCCATAGCGAAGTGAGGCAGAAGGGAGTTAGGTATTTCTGAGTTTTCTCATATGGCTGATGGAGAAAATATGGCTGATTTGTTTGCTCCCAGCAAATCATTAAAGTTAGTAACACCTTGTGATCCAGGACTCTTTGCATCCCACAGGCCCTGACTTCTAGTGGACTGGCTTGTTCACTTTGGTGAAAATGGGGAAAGAATAGCAAAAGCACAGAGTAGTGAGATTGTATCAGTTAACATCAGGTTCTCCAATAGAAAGAGGTTTTCTCAGGGGTAAAGGTTGTTGGATAAGGATTCAGGCTAACTTATAGCGAAAGATAAAAATATTTGACAAAGCAGAAAAAGGCAACTTAAGTTCAAATTGGTCAGAAGCTGGTCACACGAGATATAGACAGAGCCCCAAACAACAAACTCGTGAGCAACTTTCCATCTGACTGAACTAGTAGGGTCTGTGAGTGAAAAAAGGAAACACTTGCTAACACCAGATTGTAGAGGTATTGGTAAATGTAAAATCACCAGATACTCTCAAAAAACAAATTTTAATACTAACCAGCATGTTTAACCAGATGTGTATGGTTTGAAATTCTTTTTACCAAGGACTAATGAAAGACTTTTTTGTCTTGTCTGCCTGCCCTCCTCCCTTTTTTCCCTTCCTTCCTTCCTTCCTTCCTTCCTTCCTTCCTTCCTTCCTTTCCTTCCTTCTACCCTTATTTTTTTTTTTTTTGTTTAACAAAAGATATATAAAGCCAACTGCTTTAAAGATACGTATATATGACAAATGTCTATAGCTAGATAGATGGTGGAGAAGAACTCCAAAGACCACGTTCAATGTTGAGCACCAAGCACGCTATGGGTGTTTCTTAAATATAAAATGACAAATGCTAAATACCTATCTCTCAAATGGTTTCATCTTGAATCTTTATACCTCTCAAAAAGTTACTACAGTTTAGATAAGAGCAGTTTTAGGAAGGCCATATCCAGCCCTTCCCTATATTTTAAATAGTCTTTACAAAACCTTTTCAAAAATATTTTTTTTCTCTAAACCTAAATCATGTAGGGTTGATTTGTACATGTTTTATCATTGTTCTAAGTTTGAGTATCCTTGTTGTTATTAATGCAACAGACTGGCTGCATCAAACCCCATCATAGTGATAGGTATATGTTAGCTTTCTATGGGAAAAAGCAAATAGCCTTTATCACAAATTAAAGGCACAGCTATTTTTATGCCATTCGTTACCAACTTAATGATAACATGTAACATGGGATGGTTATATAATTATTTTATATAGATTTTCTTTTTATAAGTTATTATCTTAATCTTTCTAACATATATACAATATACATCTATTTATATATACCCCTGATAAATCTTGTTTTAAAGGTAAAACATCAACTCCTTTCAGCCTTACGGTGAACACAGAAGGCTGCCAGATTTCACAACTCCACTAGAGAAATGATGGTCAAGTGCGTCCTACCAGGTTTTTTTTCCAACACTATATCCTTGGTCTGCAATCAACTCAGATTCATTTTTCTTGTTTTACTAACACTTAAATATATATTAATTGTTTATATCATGTCAGTAGGAAATCTAAAAAACAAGAAAAAGCCCACAACAATAGCTAACATCTATCATCATATTCAAAGCAGAAACCTTTGCCTAAGACCCAGCCTTACTGGTATGATATAAAGGGGATATATTGCAGAGATGCAATATTCTCTGTTTTTTTTGTTTTTGTTTCTTGTTTTGGGTATACACTAACATGAAAAACCTTTACTTTGCATTATCATCTTAGGTCGTGACCGTTCCTTATCCATGAAACAAAACACTTGTACTGATTTCTTTCGAAACACCCATGATGCACGGGTTTACCTGTTTTCAGATATAGTTTCATTCCAAAGCCTTCCCAATTCCCAGCAATACTGCCTCAGGGTGGGAAAATGAATAATTTGTAAGAAACTACCTTTATTAATGTCTCCCCTATGTCGATGCTTAGCCCTGCTCTCTTGTCCTCAACTTGAAGTCTTACAAGCTGGACAGGAGGGGGAGAATGTGGACCAGGAAGACCTCCACAAACCCTCTGGTGTCTGTTTATCGTTTGACTGTTTACTGGCATGAAATAGTTGTTCATTCTACCTTTTGCGACTCTTTAAAACCTAGTGGCATAGATCGAGACACAGCACTATTGTTTTACAAGACATCTACTGTATCTACTTTTGTTGGGATAAATACCCAGTAATTGCTGTCATAGCAAGAGGACCAGCACGGGTACTACTATTCACAGTGTTGCTTTTGTGTGTGTGTGTTTTTTTTATGTTTTTTTGTTTTGTTTTGTTTTTCTTCTTTTCATATTATCTTAATCTACAGAGTAAATTATTATATATATATACACTGGAACCAGTTAATGCCCTTACAATGTATAGTTGTTTCATAAAGCAGGAAAGACAATGCAGAGGGAAATAGGTGCCCAAAAGCACAGTCACAAAGGCTTCAGAAGTTCTAGATACCACTACAAGTCAATGCTGGAGATCACTTCTAAAACAATCAATGTTCAAGAGGAATGCTTTAATTTGGAGAAAATACCACCCCTCCCCTCCCCCCCCAAACCTCCCTCCTTTTTTTTTTTTTAATTTTTTTAAATAATCTTTTCAATTCACTATCAAAAGTCCTGGCTCTTCGGATATACTTTAAACTATAAATAAACACTGCATAGTTCTCTTTTGTTGTGTTTGTTTTGTCTTTTGAAAAATTATTGCAGTACAAGTACTCCCATTTGGAATTCAGTAAGGAGCAAACAGCACAGGAGTGTGGGCGGTCCGAATAGGTCCAGGAGCTGGCCGCAGGAGTGCTGGAGGGAGCGCCGAGGTCTGGAACAGTGTTGCCGCTGGGGCAGTTCGGAGACTGAAGGGGGCGTTCACTGCCACGGCAGCAGCGGCCGCTGCAGCTGCCAGTGGGTTTGGTAGAATTCGCGGAGCCAATGGCTTTGAAGGTTCTTTTGAAAATACTAATTTTACCTGCAAGGGAGAGAAGAAGAAAAAAAAAAAGAGGGCAGAAGGACAAGAGTTTGGGCATCTACACTCAGAATCCAAAATGATGGGCAGCTTTTAAAATGTAGCAGTTGGGGCGCCTGGGTGGCTCGTTCCTTTAAACATCCGACTCTTGGTTTCAGTTCAGGTCATGATGGTCTCAGGTTGGTCCAGGCCCTGCATCAGGCTCTGCACTGAGGGCGTGAAGCCTGTTTGGGATTCTCTCTCTCCCTCTCTCTCTCTCTCTTTGCTCCTCCCCTGCTTGCTCTCTCTGCCTCTCTAAATAAATAAATAAATAAGTAAATAAATAAATAAAGCAGTAAACAAGTACAAAGATGAAATCACACTTGTGAATGATCAATAAAAATAATGGGAAGTGTAAACATCTTTTCTTTGATAGAGATGGAAGATCACTGAAGATGGCCAATCTAGGAAGTTGAAAAATCCCCCAGAAAAGTACTCAGCAACCTTACTTTATTTTTCTCAATAAAGTAGGAAAGTATTCATGTTGAGAAAAAAATAGGGAGTTTTCTACTCTTTACACACACACACATTAACTGTCATGGGAAGATATTTTTAAAGGGAGTAACTGTCAGCTACTAGGAGCATATCCTAGTGTACAAACTGAGTTGCACAGCAAGGTGTGAGGTAGTAATAAAGAGAAATAAAAATAACAAAATTCCACTTGCAACGAAGAAGAAAAGACCACTTACTTCCCCCTGAATCTGACATTCTGGCTTCCTCTCTGGGCACATGGTAACCACATGCTCTCAACTCTACTCTCCAAAACCAGTTCATTCTTTGGCTAGTAGCATTAGCAAGATGGCTGCTCTCACAGAAAGAATGTTCCCATTTATGGGAACAGTAACACAGAGCTACCACTGAGGTTTTGCAGGGTAACGTTAATACAATTTGACTTCCCTGTTTACTTAACAACCATTCACTTGATTGTTGAAACTTGTGTCTATGCTGGTCAGAAATTGCACTCAAAGTTATGACTAGTGGTGCTGAAACCTCAGCTCTGCATAGAATTCACAGCTTTTCAATGCAGCTAAAATTGCTTCTGTACAAAAGAGTAAAGTGACTTCATCTGCATAAAAATGGGTGATGCTACTAAATTAATTGCGTCAACTCCTACTGAGGTCTCATAATAGATGATTGCAGTTTTCCTTTAACTATATTTTCACAGGCCAGCAGCACACAATAGTACCAATTATTAATAAGATCTATTTTGAAGAAAACAGATTTCAAAGTGCATAATTCAGCACATACTGTATAGATCAGTTGTTCTTAACTCTTCATTGAGCCCTGGGTATCCCTGAGAAATCTGTGCTCAATTCGACAAAGAAAAAAAAAAAAAAGAAGAAGCACATGGTCATAAATACCAGCTTGAAATTATCAGGAGGTTTCACAGATTTCCCCTAAGTTCCTACAAAAATTCCAGGCCGGGACATTAATACTAGTGTGTTCACTAATCTAAATGGTGTATCTGGGGTAATGGGAAGGGGACATCTCCCAGAAAGTGTTTCCCCAGGCCTTAGATACTGTCCTTGGTTTGATAATTCAATAAAATAAGCCATGCCTTTCAGACTTTGTTATTCAAAATCCAAAACTGTTGAGGGCATCATCAACACCAATGTTTTGTCCCTTGAAGAAATTTTTCACTGACCTTTCGTGAAATTCTGAACTAATGGCAGGGCCAGATTTCATGTGATTTCATGTAATTACTTACCTGACTCCAACGATTGGCTTTATTCCCTTCCCCATGCTTCTGTCATTAACCAGAGCCCAACTCCAAAAGATAAAGGTGCTGGACCTTGGCCAAGAGTGGCAAACCACAGAAACAACTCATGAAACAAGTAATTCTATTGGTGGAGTAGGGTCTGGACTCTCTAATCAGCTGTTTGTCATTACTTAGGTACCTTCCATTTATTTCATACAGTAACTGACCAAAAAAAAAAAAAAATCAAGTTCAGCAGATTGTTGGACATTCAAGATCACTATCATTTGAGAAGCAACAAAGACACTCACCCCCAGTGGATGTGCTGCCTTCTGTAGTTTGTTGTAAGGACTGTATTTAGGTTTCGGGGGCTTCCCAGCAGCTCTGTCTTTGTGCCTTCTACTGCTAATGTGCTATTAAAAGCAATTAAAAATGACAGCTTTAAAAAAATCATCCCCAAACCCCCCTTATAAATACTGTTTTAACCTGAAGGATAGTAGTTACTTCACAGAAGTTGCAGAAACACCAAAATAAAAAAGCATGCACTTTTGTCCTTGGATCCTGATGGCTTGAGGGTATATATTTTTATGCTACCCATTTTAGTATATTTTTAACGGATAGAAGGCTCTTCTTTTTCCCAGCCTTTCTTTATATCACTGCACAGATCTCCTTTTTTGAAAGTTTACAAAGGAAAGGAATGTCTAAAGGAATTTTATGTGCAAATAAACAAAGATGCCCAGGCAGGCATGAATTTATTTCCATACTAATATTTATCCTCACATTTGTACAGCCAAATGTCAATCCCCTAAATTCTAAAGATAAATAACTAAGGTGCATAAAATGAGTCCAATTTTGTACATATGCATATAAAACACAACACAATACGAGGGCCGGCCCTTCCATTGTACAGCTGATCTCTTTGGAAGGCTATTCACAGAAAAAGTGAATGCAATAGGATTAGTAATCTCTTTAGCAGGTCACTGCAGGGTTTAGAAATACAGTACAACACCATGTAATAAAGTACATAAAATAAAAGAACAGTATAAAATTAGTTGTAGCATGTAAATGTCTAAACAAGTAAAAAGGGAACATTGCAATTTGACCTTTAAAGAAAATCAACACTTTTGAGGGGGAAACCTGGTAGAGAAAAGATCTCATACCCCTTTTTTCTCCCACTCTTCAGATATAAGAATAGTACAAACTCACTTCAGACAATTTCTGAAAGGCTTTAGAAAACATTACATCTTAGTATTCCCCTGGCAACTGACATAAGCATTAATAAATAAGGGCAATGAATACAAGACAAGTGGATGGATGGATGGATGGATGGATGGACAGATGGGTGGGTGGATGGATGGATGGATGGACAGATGGGTGGGTGGATGGATGGATGGATGGGAGAGGAAAACAGGAAAGAAAGGGAATAAAAGAATCACACATATTCTGCCCATAAGGGTGTCCCCTATCTGTTTTCATTTCTAGAATATGCGCTGTCTACCTGTTTAAGTTGTGTTTCCGAGTTGACGTGCACATCACAGATTTCACAGTGAAACGTTTTGTTTTGCAGACCTGTGTTTCCCTTATTAACTGGTCCTTTGCCTTTCACGCCTGCCCTAGGAAAGGCTTTGATAGTCCCACTTCCATTCCGGGCTTCTAGCATGGTTTTGTGCTTAGTACCTGCCAGAAATATTTAGAACAAAAGGAAGAAAAAATAGAAAAAATTCTTAGCTAGGAGATGCCTTTAAGAAACGATTCAATAACAAAATATGGTACCTAGTTTTAGAGCAGTTCCTCCAAGGGTTATGACTGAAATACGCTTAACTTAGAAGACAATGTTGTCTGACCACCTTACACAACATCACTTAATTACTCATGTTTTTATAGCGTACCACATAACAAACCAGCACCATTAATACAGCACCTGCACGGGAGAGTACTGAGATGAAACTAAATGGGTGTGACTTTGTTTCATTTCCTCTTGATGCTAATAAGACATAAATGATAGCTGATGAGCAAGAGTGATTTAGTTGCTAAAGGTATAGTTGGAGGTGATTTGTAACAAATGTAATCAGTTTAAGCATGGTGTGTTTACAGAAGTGGCACTAATTAAATACCCATGTTCTAAACAGAATGCAAACAAGCTTTCCTGGTCATGTGTTTAGGTTCAGTAAAAAATAGTAATAGTATAAAGATCTTAATGACAGGGGGAAAAAAAGCCCTATTAGGAGAGTAAAGCCCAAACAGACTGGTTATGTAATTTCAAATGTATAAACAAATGACCAGGATGATGAGGGGTGAGAGGGTATGCAGATGCACTCTAAGTAAATACTTCTTTTTAATAAACCAATAACATCTTTGGACTCTCACACATAAGTAGTGTAACTCCAGTTCTCAATACTTTTTTTTCAATTACTAGAGTTCATGCATGGGAGTTTTCCCTCAAAACTTTGTTCGCAATTTTCTTTCCCTTAGTGTTGATAAATATTCTTTATTTTTCTCACTTAGTCATATGGTGTTGCTATGAAATTTTCTCTGTTAATCATTTATGTCCTTTTTGCCATTCTGGTTTTCTAAATCCATTTTCAGTGGTTTCTCTTTTCCTAATTGTATCTATTAGATCTGTTATTAGATTTATTGGATTTAATATTTATTAGATTTATTTGTTAGATTGGTACCAGCTCTGTAAGGATAAAAAATAAGATTCTTAACTTCTGAATTCTGAGCCAGCCTCCCAGAACCATTGAATATTAACGAAGAAAACACACTGAGGGCCACACGAGGTCAGTGCCAATCACCATTGCCTTAAATAAGAGGCAGTGAAATACACAAACAGGTTTACAGTCACGTTTCTTTTTCAAAACGATTACAACTTTACTGAACCCAATATAAACAAACGTATATTTCTACAAAATAGATTCCCCACTTTGAATGTCATATTCTTATCCATAGCTGTGAAAATGTTCATATCCCAACATATTAAGGAAAGGGAAAAAGGTCAACACCTTGTAAGTAGACTGGAGGACTTGAAATATGGGCCACAGCACTGCTCTGTGGTTCTGGTGGGAGGCCTCCTGCAGTCCGCTTTCACTTATCCCCCTTGCAAAATAGATACAAACACTTTCTACTCTGAAGTTGGTGTAAGCCAGTGTAGAGCAAAACAATGTTCTAGGGAGCATATATATATATATATATATATATATATATACACACACACACACACACACACACACATATACACACACATATGTATATGTGTATACATATATATATATGTATATATGTAATTTATGTCACTGTGTGTATGTGTCCGGACAGTTGTCCAACCTTTTTTATCTAAACAGGTGGTTATATCAAAATATTTTTCCATGCAGCTTCTTCAATCAGACTGAGAAGGATTCCTGGGCTGGTTTGGCTTATTAATGTCTAAGAAGTAGTCAGTTGGAGACTGAATGTTACTCTGACTTTTTGGAGGGACTCTTGATTCACCCTGGTTAACCTCTTTTGTAATTGAGAGTCTTACCTCTACCCTAGAAGATTCTCAATAGGAGTGCCAGATAATCTTTGGACCTTGATAACAAGGCCATGGACACTGACCACAGCTGACTGGCTTAAATGAACTTTCACTTGAAATATGAAATGAGAGATGCCTTAATGAAACAAGTCTTTACCTATTCTCTTACTGAACACAGAGGCATGGCTTAGACATGGGCTTCTTAAAGGAAACCCTGGGTTTTGCTCATACTCTATTCTCAGTGCCTGACACATAGTAGAGAATCAGTGAAGACTAGGTCAAGTATTAGATATTTTAAAGAGCAATGAACAAATATCTGTAAAGAGCATTGTGAGCTCAGACTCTGGCATGGTATGAGTCAGAGTTTGCTTCCATTAGCTGTGTGGTTTACATGTCTTTGTGCCTCAGTGTCCTCAGCTGTGAAAAAAGAAATTATCTGCTCTACTGAAGTGCTGCATTAAATGCATTTATTGTTTTAAGGATTACTTTTGGCATTTCCATGTGTTCTACATATTTTAGTCTATCCTCTTTCTTAATGGTGTTGGTTTTATTTAGGCGAAAATTTAGAAATCTCTAAGCACTTTAAAATTTAGTGAAGTCTATCCTTTGATACCTGCCTTTTATGCATATTAAAACTTAGTGAGGGGTAGCATAAGCTCTGTCTAGGGATAAAAAAGCTTGAATGAGCTTAGTGAATATTATCAAATGTTACCACTTCAAGTGATTACCAGAAAAATTTGCCCAAATTAGTAATGAGCATTAACTATAAAGCATTTAAAAGGTTTGGATTTTTTATTATATAGAGAAAACCATCAAAATTACCTAAGGAAAGCATTGCCTAGTGGAATGTTTTGGGGAGATTTCTTTGAAGACAAAGACAAAACATATTTTTTGTATTATCTGTGTCTATAACATACAACTAAAAGGGGACTTTTGGATCTTTTGAAAAGAGTAGGTCCCCTTAAGTTGTTTTAAATATTCTTAGACTGGTTGTGAATCATGCTTGTAAGCTTAGGAGAACTACTTCTCTTCTCAAATTCCAAAACAAACAAACAAACAAACAAACAAACAAACAAAACATGCAAAGCCAGAATGCCCGTATTCAAATCCTGCATTCCATTATTATGGAATATAAACCAATTAACTGCAACTTTAGTGAAAAATAAAAAGAGAAAGCAAGTGAAATAACACAACTGATCCCCAGATAATGCTAGAAGCAACTGTGGTCATACTAATAATTGTGCCGTAATAACTCATCCTTACAAGATGCCATATGGCCTCTTAGCTCTGAGATGGAGAGAGAGGGAGAGAGAGAGGGAGAGAGAGAGGGGGAGAGAGAGAAGAAGAAGAAGAAGAAGAAGAAGAAGAAGAAGAAGAAGAAGAAGAAGAAGAAGAAGGAGGAGGAGGAGGAGGAAGAGGGGGAGGAGGAGGTAGGAAGGAAGAGAGGAAGAAAGGGAGGGAGGGAGGAAAGAGAGGAAGAAAAGAAAGGAAAGAAGGAAAGAAAGAGAAAAAAAAAGAATAAAGAAAGGAAAGGAAAGGAAAGGAAAGGAAAGGAAGGAAGGAAGAAAGGAAGGAAGAAGAAAGGGAAGGGGTAGGTTCAAAGAGAACAAATGACTTGCCCAGGTTCACATAGAAATGTTATTTACAGATCCGAGGTAAAAATAGTCTGATCACTTCTAGCTCATTCCATTGGAATATACAAGAGGCAGTGTTTGATGGAAGCTATAGCATCAAAATCTGTTTATGATTAAGAATGTGTTTTTGAGATTAAAAGAAAAACCATAAATGCAGAACTCTACATTCACAGCTATAGGCCTTATTTCATGCATATGTGTTTCTAAAAGGGAAAAAAGGGGGAAAACTACTTAGAATTACAATTTAGATGCAAAAGACACATCTCCCCACCCTGCAGCCTGGTTGCTTTTGATCAAAATTGGCTTTCAAACCTGGCTACCTGAAAAACAGCCCAATCTCAAAGGTGGTTTCCTCATCTGTGGCTCTAAAAGAAAGCAGGGAATTCTTTTAAAGTGATATTGGTGGTGTTGGGTGGGTAGGGGTGAGTGTGGGGGCAGTGGGGCACTAAGGCAGTGACTGTAGTCTGTTCCAGATGCAGGTAATACAGGGGTCCATTAAAGAGAATTAGAAAACAATAATTAAATGGACTGCAAAGGCAGTCTGCTTTCCACTAGGGCCATGAACTGGCAACTCTAAACAATGTCCATGATAAAGGACTTCTTCCTAGAAAACATTTTGTTGATCTATATTCTACACCATTTGTGTGTTTACTGTTGAGATTTAGTATGCATTAAATTAGCCCATTGTGTTACTTATCCTATACTAAGCATCATGCCACATGGAACTTGGTCTGTAGACCTCTCTATTACACAGCGGGCCGCGCACACACAGGAGCTCAGCTACGGGCTCTTGTTTTGTTAGCGAGTCCATAACAGTTCACAATCATTCAAGCTCACGAAGGCTGCGGTTCATGCCTTCAACCCCTGCGGCCCTCTGTATTTTTATAGATGAACGACGACACCATGATTGTGAAAATGAAGCGACAGAATTTGGGTTGCTTCAATTCTGTCATTTTATGTGACTGCTGGAAGTTTTTATGTTTAAAGCAGCGAAACAGTGTGAGCCGTGGGGTTTCATGGTTTTGTCTGGCGAGCATCAGTTGCCCACGTTGGTAACTGTCTAGTGACGGGCACTGTACTGGCTGCCTTCCTGCCCTGTTACCTTTTCTCGCTTCCTAACCTGTTCCCTTGGCCTCTCCTGAAAACTCTCTGCTCTCAAATCCTGGTCTCCGAGTCTGCTTCTAACGGAACACAAACTAAAACACACACCAACCCTATGATGGATCCTACAACAACTACTTCTTTTCCTGACAGGAGAGTGATCATACGGGTAAGCCCGTCTCTTTCTAACTCCCCACCCCCCATGGGTTTCCCCTCATGGGGTCCGAAAGGAAAGATGCTGGAACCAGTGGATAAGGGGCAGTTGTATGAATATGGGAAGGACTGCATTCATCATCTACATTTAGAGAATGTCCTGGACACAGGGAGCCTCTCGACACTGCTTCCGTTACAAATAAGAGAGCTAAATCTGGAGATCAAAAATGGCGCACAAAGGGGGTTAGACACATCTACTTGTCCACCTGCTTTCCTTTGCCATCTCCAGTTCTGGCACAGCTGGCTCGTGCATGTCTAGTGTGAGGCCTCCAAGAAGGGCCTGGACCTGAGAGAAAGATCTCTGAGGTAGGAAGGGAAATGCAGGGCTAGAGAAACCTAAGCTTAGGGGGAATGGGGATAGTCTCCTGACTAGGACAAAGGGTTGGAGGGGACATCCCTATAAAGGGACTCATAGTAGAGGTGACAACCACATTTACTACCTTAAGCTCTGCCTGCACAACACTTGTGAGGATTTTGTGTTTGCTTTTTTTTTTCTTTTCCCCAATACTATAGCTTCTAGGCTTGGATATATAATAAATCAGAATCCCTAGATATAAGAAATACACACACACACACACACACACACACACACACACACACACACATATATAATGACATGGGTGAGTATGCATTTAAAGCTCATGGGCTACTTCTGACAACACAAAGCAGAGATGAGCATCATAGAATTGGAATATGAAAAGTGCTGACCTGGTGTGATATCATGTGATATCATTGCTTCTTAATCAGATGTTTCTGATAAGAATTCAAGAAGGATGCCCAAATTATTGATAAATTATCGCCAGCCTCAAAGGGTATGGTTTTGTTTATCTGTCAGAGTTGATCCCCCCGCCCCCAAATGAATGTGTTTCTCTGTCACTATGCAGAAGGATCAAGAATTCTTGAGAAATAACTGGACCTCCAATGATGTTTTCGCTCTCCCAACTACCCTGCATCCCTGAATAATGTATTTGCATGAGTAAAACTCGAGGCATGTCTGCATGGTATATAGATTCTGACTTGGGGCCAGATCTTTTTCTGTGTTCTCAGGCCCTGAACCCATGAACTCCCAGACGACAACTAATGTTGCGTGCAGGAGGAAGATACGAACTGAAGGAATTGCTCTCCACCTGCAATTACTCCCTCAGAACACTGAAGTCAATACTTGGATATTACTGTGCAGCACAGTGGCCAATGACAGTGAACATATAGCTGCAACATTAACCCAGGGTATCATTTACAAACGATTCTGTTTTTACTGTAATTGCTGACAGGGTCCTGGCAATGAACACAGTCTTTGGGAGAAAATCTAATCTTGGGCCAAAGGGCTGGCTTAAATCTTAGGCAGGATATATATACAATTATCTATATCTATATATCTATATATGATATCATCTAGATTTTATTGATAGATACATAGATAGAGATATACTCTCCCTGTATGTATTTATCTAGATAGATAGGTTTTGGTATGATATAATATCTATACATTATCTTTCTATAGATATAATACAGAACAGATGGATGGAATTGAAATATACTGGGGAAACATTTCATCCTTGTTATGATATGTTCAAGTTTAGTGTTTAAGTTGGAGAGACCTAAGTTTACTTCATGGCTTAGTCGCTTAATTGGTCATGTGCCTCACCTGAGCTTCAGTCAAATAGCAAGAATAGTATGTTTAGGTTGCCACAAAGAGTAAATAAAATATCACATGTGGAGAACATACCTCAACGGTTGCCCATAATAAACCCTTTATGGTAAAGCGTCCAGGTGATACAGATTTAGCCCAAATAATATTGTCATTAAGACCATAACAGCGAGGTTTCACCTAAAATCACATGGAGTTATGGAAGCAAATTTTGTAACTACCGATAAAAACTTCAGCAAACTTCATTTAGAAGCAAATGTGTGGGAGTGTATAGCAATTTAGAAATCAAATAAATGCAAATCTTAGACTTTAGAATATTTTACTTTATCTCCTAATGTTTAATAACACACACACACACACACATTCATAAACACAAACACATACACATCGAGGCACAGGAGCCCTGGAAGTCCTCTCTTGCTCCCATGTAAATGACACTTTGCATGTCATTTTTATTTTGTAACAGTTAATGAATTCCATGTAATAATTGCCAGTTTTCCGCCAACCCTTTGTCCCCTGCTGCAAAAGATCTAACCCATTCAGAGGAAGATAATTGAAGAACTGTTGAGACAGAAAAGAAATCGCTTCATCTCACCACTGTTGTGTGCCTCCAGCTGTGAGGCAGAGTTGACAGCAACCTTGCATAGCGAACAGTAAAGAAGCCGTTTTGCCTTTTCTTCCTCGGTCTCCGTGGAAGGACATGAGCTATTGCCAGTGGCTGTTGTGGGGCTTTTTTCCACTTTGGAGGTGATCTCAGTTGTCATAACACTGCTTTTGCGAATTTCCACAGTTGTCGTTGATATTGCTGGTGTCCCTGCGGTACTGTCTGCATTCCAAATAGCATAGGAAAAAAGAGGACAAAACAGTGGTATTATCTTTCCCTATTTGGAAATGTATCACTAACATTACGTTCTGCTAATAATGATAAGAGCAATCAGCAATTGCTGCTTGGTGACTGTGGTATGGGTCAATCATCTCATGAAGATATTTGCATAGACAGCCACATGTAATTGTGTATATTGATATCAAAGGCACAGATAATTCTTAAAAATATGCCCAAATACACTTAATATTTTTTCCTGTGGGGCAAATAAACATACCCACAGATTTCTCTTGTTACCATATGGCCTTAATAAAATCATCTTTACAGTATATTGTATTTTGCATATGTATATTTCTACACAGAGGATTTTTGACAAAATAGAGGATAAACACTTTTAAGATATCTTTATTTTTCTTGACTAGTCTATTTTCCTTCTACATTTATCTCTTAAAGTAAATACAAGTACCGATCCTTTTGTATATACTTGTGCAAAAAAAAAAAGAGAAAAAATGGAATCCTGACGACATATTGCTCTGTTCAGATCAACAATTTAGAAAACCATTGCCCTATTTACAAAGAGTTGTATATTCAACACCAGGTACAGGGATCATCAACATATAAACAAGAGGAATTCTAGTCTGGCGTATTGATTAAATGCATGCTCTGTACCAGGCTGTGTTCAGGGAGTCTGTGACATAGTATTCAAACATCAATGGCCTCTGTACAAGAAACTCACAGGCTGATCACACCATGTTAATGTCACCTCATCATTTTGAGAGTCAGATGACCATGAAAGTGTTGGTATACTGGAACCCTACAACCCATCTGGCTCTGAAGTCTGATTCTAAATCTGGAGGGGTCAACTTCTGAAGGAAAACTGCTTTATCCTGACTTCACTCAGGTATACACCAACAATTACCAATTATAATTAGCAGTGTTTGCCATATCCAATAGCAAATTGCAAAGAAGCTCTATGTTCGTATCCTTTCGTCTTTCATACTCTTTACTCAGCCTCCCAGCTGGCTGGTTCTTAACCTCTATTCAAAATATTCCCAGGCTGTCTCCCTAGCTACAGCTGCTCTTGGAACTGTTTCTCATTCCAGATACTGCTGTGGTCACTAATGCCACACTGAAAAGTTCATAATAAATGGATCAGGCATGGTTATAAGGGACAGTGGTCTGCCCGCAATGAAGCGTTGTCCTCAAAAATGCTGGTTAGGTCACACTATCAAGAGTTGATTGCAGTTACAAAATGCCTTTTAACCTGGGTATTTCCTTTGATCCAGATATACAGGTGGGGATTTAGGTGAGATTGGTTATGGCTTCTTTCCCAAATATGGCATCAGAAACACTAGTCAATAAGAAGAGATGGGGTGCCTGGGTGGCTCATTTGGTTAAGCGTCCAACTTTGGTTTAGGTCATGATCTCGTGGTTCGTGGGTTTGAGCCCTGCATCACGCTCTGTGCTGACAGCTGGAAGCCTAGAGCCTGCTTCAGATTCTGTCTCTCTCTCTCTCTCTCTCTCTCCCCCTCCCCTGCTCATGCTCTCTTTATGTCTCTCAAAAATAAATAAATGTTAAAAAAAAAAAAAGAAGAGAAATGGGCTCTTGTTGAGGGCTGTTGTATAAAACAATTCATCTGGATCTTATTTCCTTTGCCTGATACTTCAAAAGTGTTTAATCACTTATTTAGCTTCTGAGATCATCAAGTAAGCCTCCTTTTTGAAGAATATCCCCAACCATATTAAAAAAAAAGTCAAACTGCTCATCAGTTTCTCATGATTAGGGAAAAATAAATAAAATTACTCAAACACTAAGTTTTGCCACCAGAATACATTCATTCCCTTTCCCTTGAACACAGACAAGTCTATTTCCTGATTGGTTTTTGCTTATCTATTGAGGTACCAGTGTTAAAACATCAGTTAACAGCTAGAAAATATTTCTGAGAACCTAGATATGGCATAAAATGGAATGACCACTTTAAAACAGTCTAGTAGCTTTTCATTGCTCCCAACAAACCAGAAATGACTGTTTGAAAGCATATGCATATGTGTCTGTGAATAAATAACAAATACCCAGTTAATTTGCTAAATGTTTTAGATACATGATTTCATGTATGCTTCACACAAACTTGAGGAAATTCCAGAAGTTAAGAAAATTTCCCAAGGTCACACAAATAGAATATGGTGAGTCAAGGCAAAGTGTTTATAGACTGAAAAAATCAGGGATTTAAAAAAGAAAAAAAAGATGTTGTGGATGATATTCTTGCCCAAGACTGTGATTCTTCATACTAAGGCCACAAATGGCAGTAGGCTAAAACTGCTAAATTATTCTTACGATCCGCTCTCATGGGGAGTGACAACCGTAAATATAGATATATTTAAACTTTGTGTGGCTACATGTAGAGGCAGAGCGTGACACTATGGACATTTATTTCATTTAATTCTAAGTAAAGATGTCCCGAGTAATACAACATTTCCTCTGGATTGACAATGCTGATTTCTTGATCTGAAAACTGCGTAGCATCGATCAGAGTAGTCCTAAACCAGCTTCCTTATTTACACTGAAATTCTTAAGTACAGAGTAAACAAAACCATGGATCTCCTAATCCCTGTGACAGCTACATTAGTCGTTTTCTAACCTCAGAGGATAACGTACATTTAGACCAAGGAAGCCACAAGATTAGAACTGCCAGATTCTCTATGCCTAGGGCTTAATGAAGTATTAACATTTCTTAAGGCAGGTCCTTTGCATGAGCTAGGTTTAGGGGAATTAGTATCAAAATGCCTAACTTCTGGAACCTCTACTCTGGTCTTTTAAGACCTCATGGCTGAGTACAAATCTGTTATTTTCTCCATTTGGCAAGTAATTTGAAAGAAATACAAATAGTTATATTTTTCATTTTGAATTGAATATATAAATGTTATGTGTTTATGTTAACATTAAATGTTATATAAATGTTATGTCCATAGGTAGGATTACTATTAATTTATAATAAGACATGAGTTTTTCAGTTACTTTTCATTTATCAGTGGTGAGGGGATTTTTTTCATAAAAAAGTAAAGTAATTATATTTTAAGATTATGCCATTAATATGGCATTAAAAAATTTTTAATGTTTATGTATTTTTGAGACAGGGCAAGCACGAGCCCAGGAGGGGCAGAGAGAGGGGGTGACCGAGGATCTGAAGCAGGCTTTGAGCTGACAGCAGAGAGCGCGATTCGGGGCTTGAACTCATGAGCCATGAGATCATGACCTGAGATGAAGTCAGCTGCTTAACTGACTGAGCCACCCAGGTGCTGCAAGATTATGCCATATTAGAAGATAATCACCTATGTTATACATTGCCTAGAAAGTTACACCTAGCAAAGAGATTTTAATATGGTACATTAAATTACCAATTATAATAATCCTTATCCACTCATAAGAGGCAAATCTTAAATGGGTGTTCATGTTAACAGCACATACCTTTGATAAGATGTGAGAAGAATTACCTCTAAGATTTTCCCTCCCCAAACTCACAACCCCTGTCTGAACATGGGAAAAGCATTAAACAAACATAAATTTAAGGACAATTTATGAAATTCATGATTAATGGTCCTCAAAACTGTTAAGCTCATCAAAACAAGGGAAGTCTGAGAAACTGTCAAATCTAGATGAGTCTAAGGAGACATGATGACTAATTATAACATCATACCCTGGTAGGGATCCTGTGTGTGTGTGGCAGGGGGGAGGGTGAGACAAAAGGACATTAGGTAAATACTTAGGAAATGTGAACGAAACTTGGACTCTAATTAATATAATGTATCAGTATTGGTTCATTGGTTATGACAAATGCTCTATAATAATGTGAGATGTTAACAGTAAGGGCAACTGGATGCAGTATATACAGAAACCCTCTACAACATTCTTATACCTTTTCTGTAAATCTAAGACTATTCTAAAATTTCAAGTTCATTAAATTGAAGAAAAACAGAATCATAACCAGTCAAAAAATAGTGCATCATTTCAGTTACTTTGTAGAATCATAATTAAAGGATATCTTCGTGGTTTCATAGTATAGTTTTCTTGGTTTTCAGAGTAAAATTTTTCAGTAAATTTCTCAAGGTTACATAGTGCTTTAAGGTAGACACTGGGACTTGACATTGCATATCCCAATTCTAAATTAAGTGCTTAGTATCCTGTATTGCAATGACTCACATATTCAAACTTCATGCCATCAACATTTATTAAGCAGCTATTTTGTGCTAGGTTCTATATATACTAATCCACAAGACCAATAAATATCCATCACGTACTGACCATCACGTACTAAAGGTTTTATGAGACACCTCGTGATAAGCTGGAATAATAATAAAGTGAAATCTTTAATCAGCATTGCTATATCCTTACACTTATACTTGTCACAAAAAAGACACTCAAATATTTATGAAAAGAAAACAATGAACGAACGAACGAATGAATGAACAACAATTACAGCTAATGTTTACTGAATCACTTTTAAAGCATTTACCAGTATGAATTCATTCAATTCTCATAAAAACCTAAGAGGGGCATACCATTTCTATCCCCATCGTGAGAAGGAATTGAGATATGGATTTGCCCAAAGCCAGAGCTCCCAGGTGTGGCGCAATGATTTGAACTCAGACAGTATGGCTCAGAAGCACAAGCTCTTCTATTTTTTTTATGCTAAAGTTTTGATTTTTTAAATGAAAGAACTGACTACATCCTCTTCAGCTAGTTCAAGTTGGTCATGATTTATTTTGCATGTCTGTAGATAGCATCTTAAAAATTTGACTTTAAAAGAAACTAAACATGGCCAGAACTAGAGTCAATCACATATATTCAATCATCCACTTAAGCTCAAGTATTAAGTTACTGGAATACATCTGGAAGGAGGGGAGAAAAGAATAATTTACAGCTCTCAAATAATCTCTTGTGCAAAATGGTAAAAGTACAGCTCTTCCTTGTTACAATCCTTCCTTTTCTTCCTCCATCCCTTCCTTCCTCCCTCCCACTCCATGTCTGTCTGTCTTTCTTTCTTTCTTTCTTTCTTTCTTTCTTTCTTTCTTTCTTTCTTTCCTTTCTTCCTTCCTTCCTTCCTTCCTTCCTTCCTTCCTTCCTTCCTTCCTTCCTTCCTTCCTCCTTTCCTTCCTTCCATCTTTCCTCCCTCCCCAATCCTTCTTTCTTTTCTTTTCTTGTCTTGTCTTTTCTTTCCAAAAGATGAGAAACGGGAATAATGATTCACTTTTCCTAATGTTTCCCAAAGGTGGACTCAGATTTCTTTGCACTCTTCAACCAATGGCCCTCTAAGAACAATATATGTGACAAGGAGTCGAAAATAATGGGTGCTCTTCAGTGGGAAGAAAAACGTTTGAGATGGTTTGGGTTTGCATTTCTGTGCATGTTTTCTGCCAGTGCCCTGTAGCAAATATTCATTACTGCAACAATCAGTATTTGGCTTTGGCATCAAAACAGATTGCTGATACTTGGTGGAATGGGGCTTTAGTTGAGAATGAAAGAAAACTTGTCAGTATTCAGAGTGGACCATTTGTGGCCCTCATCCTTGTACAAGAAAATATTCCAGAAGATAACAACGACTTGAATTCTAGGTAATAAAATAGAGCAGCCAAGTTTCATGGCCTGGGTAAGAAATTTATTCTCCTAGACACAGACCTCATAACCCAAGTCGGACAACCACAGCTGAGTTACTTAAGTTTCCTTGCAGGTAACAGGAATTAGTATTATGATCCAAAGATGCTCATCATGTTTTCCAGCAGATTAAAGACTGAGAATTATATACAATTTATGTCCTTCCTCCTCGTGTGAATTTAAGTCTCACCCGGGCTTGCTAACAAGTGAGAACAGCTGCTTCCTCTTAAATATGCTGACATTCCAAAGTACAAAAAAGGTGCCTCCTGACAAAAAAAAAAAAAAAATCACAAGTTTTTAGAAATTACTACTGGCCGTTTCTTTCCTATGGATTTAATTTAATTTAATTTAATTTAATTTAATTTAATTTAATTTAATTTAATTTAACTAACATTTATTGAGCACACAGTTAGACCCAGGCAGCAATGACCTGTGCACTGGGCACTGTAGTTTTGAGGGCTCCACATATCATGAGCTACTGAAACAAAAGCCTATTTTTTTAATGCACTGATCTTGTAAAAAAGTTGTTAGAGTGTCTGATAGCCAATTGAGCAAGTGGGAATTATAGGAAAGGGAAGTGAGGGCTGGAATGGCTGCCTCAGTGGCCTGTGTAGACTAAGATCTCACGAGTGTGTGTGTGTGTGTGTGTGTGTGTGTGTGTGTGTCTGTATCTGTGTGTGTGTGTGTGTGTGCATACACCTATGTGCACTGGGAGGTGGCAGGAGACCAAAGCTTGTATCTGGAAACCAGAAAAAAAAAGTTATTTCGTTCATATGTGGCTCTATCAAATCACCTGAGCAAAGTCCCTCCCCCACAAATTTCCTCCCTCCCCTCTTCCCCTCTGCTATGATGGTATAGGAAGGGCTTCAAACTGCCTGGAAATTCTGAGTTTACAAAATGAGGGTGGGAAGAAAGTGTTACCTCCCCAGCAGGTGACCTGATTTGGGTGGATCCAGCCACCATCCAAAGGTCAGGGCTCAGGATTACCTTACCCTCCAGGTCACGTGGGTAAGGTCATTGGGCTGCTAGGTAAGCTTGAGGTGGAAGTTGTCAGTATTTCCATGTAGGACATATGGTCTTTATCTGCACTCTTGTCTTAGCCCTGAAACTTTGGGGTGGGCTGGAATGAGCCCTCATATGTCAGACTCTGTGCTACTCACTGGAGGTGGAGAAATAAACATGATATAATTTGTATGCTAAAGAATGAATTTGCACTAATATGATGAGGGAGAGGGAAAGAGAGAGATGGAAGGAGAGTGTTAGTGGTGCAGGGTCAGAGAAGGAGACAGAGGATCCAAAGCAGACTTTGTGCTGACAGCAGAGAGCCCGATGTGGGGCTTGAACTCACGAATTGTGAGATCATGACCTGAGCCTAAGTGGGACACTAAACGGACTGAGCCACCCAGGTGCCCCTGGAGTTTCTCTCTTTAAGGAAGGTAAGCACAAAGAAATGTCACTAGAAAATAAGTTGTACTTCAAATTTTGATTTTATAGTGCCTCCAATGGTGTAGAGGCCATGCCCCAAAAAGAGATTCCCTGTACTTTTAAAAATGTTTATTTATTTATTTTGAGAGAGAGAGAGAGAGAGAGCAAGAGTGTGCAAGCGAGTGGGGGAGGGGCAGGGAGGGAGGGAGAGAGAGAGAGAGAGAGAGAGAGAGAGAGAGAGAGAGAATCCGAAGCAGGCTCCACACTGTCAGTGCACAGCCCAACACAGGGCTCAATCCCAGGAACCATGAGATGACAGCCTGAGCAGAGATCAAGAGTCAGACACTGAACTGACTGAGCCACCCAAGTGTCCTCCATACTTTTTAGACCAAGTGGTATATTCTGTTGTACAGTGAGCTCAATGAAACTCTTAATGTCCTAAGGGATTGGGTGACTGATTCTTTCTACCTTTACAGCATTTCCCATGCTCACAAAGCAAAAATATCAAACTGCAACTTCTGAGATGCTTCCCAAAGCTGTCCAATCTACGATCTGTTTGAGGCAATTACATTAGGAGTAGATTCATACACCGATAATGATGATCTGTTGAACTCACTTTGCCATGTATACCACATGCAGATTAGAACATAAATTATTCTGATGAAACGCATTTGAGACAGAGCCTATTTTAAAAACAAAATAGGTGATTGAGCTTTCAGATTTGCCTCTTGAAGCCAGGACCAATTAGTTTCATTGGGACTGGCTGTTTTTCAGGAGCATCTATGATTTGAGAGGGTAATTTTAGATTAACTTTCATAGGATAATTTATCAGAAATTTAGGTTATTCCTATCACTGATTAGAATTTTGGAGTCAGAAGCTAGAGATTCAGGTTGCCAGGTTTAGCATATAGCTGCAGAAGCCCTCAGAAAGAAGTGGTGACTAGGACCACGGTGAGGGGGGCTGACTTACGCCAGGCAACTGCAAGTGCAGTTAATGAGAAGGGGGAGGGCAGGAGGATGAGGCCAAGCAGGAGGGACACCAGCAGCCCCTGAAGCTCAGCGGGCTCGGCAGGGACTGTCCAGCCCCTGGACAGAGGAGGCAGGATGGAGCAGTTGGCCAACCAAAGCTGAAATCTACTTATATCTTCAAACCTCCCCTCTCCAAAATGTCTTTGACCTCAAATATGGACCTCTCTTATTTGAACTGGGATCTCACCAAGTAAAAACAGGCATAAAACTAGGCAGCAGTCAGGGGCGCCTGGGTGGCTCAGTCGGCTGACCGTCCGCTTTGGCTCAGATCATGATCTCGTGGTTTGTGAGTTTGAGCCCCATGTCAGGCTCTGGGCTGACAGCTCAGAGCCTGGAAACTGCCTCCGATTCTGTGTCTCCCTCTCTCTCTGCCCCTCCCCACTTGCACACCTGTCTTTCTCTCTCAAAAACAAATAAACATTAAAAAAAAAACACCTACGCAGCAGTCACACTCACATATACCCCCACCCCCAGGGAAGACAGAAGATGTAGATGAGTGAGGCAGGGCAATGGACGATGATAGTATTAGCAGCTGTGGTAAACTGGGGAGCAGGCAGCTCTCCACAAAAGGGGTAGTTCATTGTACCACTGTAGCCAGTTCCTGTCATTTTAGAAACACATGTCCAGCTTTACCAGATGCTTTGATTATTATGTTAAAAGCCACAAAGTTTCATGTAAAATTTCCAAATATTTCCAAATTTTTCATGTTAGCAACTGTGTGTGTGTGTGTGTGTGTGTGTGTGTGTGTGTGCATACAAAATCCTGTGTGGGCCCAAATATTCCCTGTGCTCTATCTCGGCTATGGGATGCCAGTTTTGCAAGGTTCTCTAGGGACGTGGTGGCTGTGCCGCCAGACACTGCTCCTTTCCACAAGGGTTCAGAGACTGTTCCGATGGCTTGACTTAGAGTCTCCCTCAGAAGACAAGGTCTCTACTTGAAGCAAAGATAGCTGATTAGAGTTGGTCTTTTTTTTTTCCTTTACCAGACAATTTTCCTTCATTCCTTTCTTTCATCCACAAGAAGGGGCTCATTCTGGAGCAGAAACCTTGGTGTGTCTTGTCAGCTACGTGTAAGGGTTCACAACTTAACATCCCAGAGGTGTTCTTGGTTGATAAGCCACATCAGCAATCTGTACCAATGTCTTATAATGTTGGAGCATTCGTATCTAAAAGTCAGTGGGGATTATATTACCTACTCCTATACTTACCTTGTAACACAACTAGAAAGAGCTTGCTAGATATTTTTTTTTGTAATTTTTAAAAATTTCTTTTTTGGGGCGCCTGGGTGGCGCAGTCGGTTAAGCGTCCGGCTTCAGCCAGGTCACGATCTCGCGGTCCGTGAGTTCGAGCCCCGCGTCAGGCTCTGGGCTGATGGCTCAGAGCCTGGAGCCTGTTTCTGATTCTGTGTCTCCCTCTCTTTCTGCCCCTCCCCCGTTCATGCTCTGTCTCTCTCTGTCCCAAAAATAAAAATAAACGTTGAAAAAAAAAATTAAAAAAAAAATTTCTTTTTTAATGTTTATTTATTATTGAGAGACAGACAGGGACAGAGCATAAGCATGGGAAGGACAGAGAGAGGAGAAGACACAGAATCTGAAGCAGGCTCCAGGCTCTGAGCTGTGAGCACAGAGCCCGAGACAGGGCTCGAACCCACAAACCGCGAGATCATGACCTGAGCCGAAGTCTGATGCTTAACCAAATGAGCCACCCAGGCGCCCCAAGCTTGCTGGATATTTTATAATTGATAAATATAGAGGCTGCTGTCAGTAACTTCATTCTGTTAGACGTTTGCCTTTCTTTCAAAAGTTAAGAGCTTCCATAAAATACCAGACTGAAAACTGGCATAGACGTATAAATAACAAAACTCTGACCTGCTAACTTAAGTGTTCATCCTCAATCAGTTTCATTTTATCACTTTTAAAACGCTGCTTCTTTCACTCTATTTTCTCTATTGTCTTTTGGCTCTCAGAACATCCAACAATGATGAAACCAAGATGTTAGAAACTTGTGAATCCAAAATATTCCTCTCCCTGGACACTAGTGGTTGGAAAAATGTATTCTGTATCAGAATCACCTGGAAGTTTTGATAAAACTTTGTTGGTTCTTGCCCCTAGAGTTTACGATTCCTAGGTCTGGGTTGGACTCTGAGTATTTGCATTTCTAATAAGTGCCCAGGTGTTGTTGTTGCTGCTGGTCTGAGGCCAGAATGTCAGGAACCACCACTGACAGATCTGTCAATTAGGTTAACTCAGCTTTGAAGCTCGAATGTCACTGAAGTCAAAAGTCACTGATGTAAACAGGGTAAATGAGGGATAGAGCCAACACTGTCCCGTTTGGCGTGTGACTAAGGGAGTTCCTGAGAAGGAACCGCCAGTATTAACACAGGGAAAGGTCCCGGCAGGTCAGGTCACGTTGGTCACCCTATAAGGGAATTTGGGATAAATTAGGAAACAACTCTTAAAAAATGTATTTTAGACACAACTAAGCAAGCAATGAGCATTTCTATTGAAAGATACATTTTTTTTAAAAGATATATGTGACAACAAATGAGAGAGGATGGAGAAACATTCAGATCCTTGAAACAGAAAAATAACTTTGGGGCTTAATTAACCTTCCATTTAGTAGTTAAAGCAGGGGCTCTTCTGTAAGAATATAGTCTTGTCTCTCTAACTTCTGGTCTGTACATTTCCAAGGGAATTCTTTTCCTATACTGTTCACAGGATATATGCTTCATCCCTTCCAAACACAGATTGATCTAAAGTAAATTAATTTAAAACTAAGCTAATTAGAAGGTAGGACTCTAGGACTTTGTAGTGTTAATCGAGTGGGTCTGGCCACTGTAAATGAATTGCAAAGCACCAAGAAGAAGGGAGGGGGGATTTTGTCAGAATTTGTGAACTCTGATAAAATTTCCAGAAGGGAATAAAAGGAGGAGACTAAATAAAAATCAGTGTATTTCAGAGCTATTTTAAGCGACTTGGATACCACTAGATTAGGAAGCTGCCTTTTCTGACTTCTAAAAGAATAAGAAAAAAAAATCTTTCCAAATCTATGAATGATAGTTCCCCTGTTCCAAGAACTACCAGAGGGAAAGGTATGCAGGCCACAGCAGCAGTTCCCAATTCATCAGCGAGAAAGTCTGTATATTGAAAAACTCGATTTGAAATCTGGCAAAAAGTCAACGCATGATTTTTCAGCAACTGCCTTTGGTACTTGGTCTGTTTAATGTACATAGCAACAGTCTTCCTTCTGGCCAGGTGCTTTAGGTTACAAGTAAGGATTTGCCTTGTGTCCTTCCATAATAGCTAACCATTAAAAACTATGACATGATAAATGGTGAGTCTTGAGATGTGTTACTAACTGCAAGTGAACACAAAGTGAGAGAAAGCATGTCTTCTGACTATTGAATGTAGATTGTGTAGAGAACTGAGAACATGGAGATAGTTCTGCCAAGTCACTTAGGATATGAATCCTTGCTGTGGAATCCTGTTAGGTGGCCCATGTAATAATAATAATAATGGAAGTAATAATGGTCAGTTAGCTCTACAGTTTTTTGGGGGACTTAGTTTTTGTCTTTGTTGTTTTTTGTTTTTTGTACCATATTGCTGTCCTAAAGATAAGGAAACAAGCTCTCATAATGGTTGGCATACTGATAAAATATTTACTGTGGACATAATTTAGGACATTATACCATCTGCGCTTGGGCAGTTTATTGTATGTGTAAATTACTTAGCAGTTTTCATTACAATGTTAGTGTTTCATGGATTACACATGTCTATGCGGACGATGTTTTAATCACCAGAAAGCTGTCATGATGTCACATGCCACACTCAACATTTAGAGTAAAGGATTTTTTTTCTTTCAAATTTTGAGAGACGGGGAAAGGTGTTTTTAGGGAGTAAGTTCTACTGGACAGATTATGGAAAATAGTTGGCAAAGATGACAGAAATACAGAAAGTGAGGAGATCTTTAAAAATACCAAGAAATAATATTATATATATATATATATATATATATATATAATATACTGTATACATATTGTATATTGTATAGTATATATTATATATATATATATATATACACACATATATATAATGTAATGAGAACTTTTTCGCAACTCCTATGCATCCCATGCACACTATGTTGTCTCAAGACTCAAACTACCAGTCATTTCACCTGAAACAGCAGTTTATTATTATTTTCCCCTCTGCTGGAAGCAGAACAAGAGGGAGGTCATCATATAATACAGTCACTTTTTGACAGAATTTCTCTTCTCAAAGTAGTTGTTTCCTTGTAATATTAATATACTTCAGCCGAGACGATTTTTAAGAGTTGGGAGGAGGAACATAAAAATTAGGGGAAGCGTGCACATCAAAATAGACCAAGAGAAATGAGAATCCTACTCATTTACTGAAAGGTTGGCTGCTGAAAAATTAATTGAACTGCCTGGAAAATAATAAAATTCTGGAGCAAATGCCTCTCTTCTTCAGCAAAGCCAACAGACCTTTTTCTAAGATGGGAAGAATCTCTTTTAATCTACAGAAACCACAGAAGCCAGATTTTCATGAAATTCCAGGTATAAAAGTAACTCTCCAAATATTCCCATAAACTGTCATACTGCTCCAAAAATTCCAAGCTACCGCAGACTGCTTCTTGCACAAAAAATTATCATACTTTCTTTTTGTTTTTGAGAATACATTCATTGTAATTGTATTACTATTTCAGCAAAACACTAACTGAAACATTAAAAGAAAAAAGTCAGTCTCCTTTGTCTAAATGATGCAGAACACCGATTTTGATTTTCCTTAGGGCTTACTTAAGAGACTAGTTATTTTGGCATTCTTTAAACAGCTCTAAGTCCAATTATTTGTTTTCAGTGTATACTCAGGGAAAAAAGAGATTTCTTGCTTAGCTCTACCAACAAAGATTTCATTCAATACTTTAAGATAAATCTATTTTTAAAGTGGAGCTGTGTTAATAAAATACATGCTAATGATTAATTTCAAAGTAAATTCACATTATCTCTGACAGTCAGTACTGGCCATTCTGAGACCGTAGCATGCTAAATATTTTTATAGCTACAAAAGGATAGAAATCTATCCCATGCGACCTGACCTCTCAAAGGATGATGGCATTTCAATGAGATGATCTCATTTCATGAGTCAAATCAGAACACTGTATTAGAG